TAAAATATTGCAACAGATGTGGAAATTGCTGTACACATTATAGGCAGCATTAGTAAATTAACGGATGTGATGTATAATGAATGACCACCCCACAATCGTAAAAAAGCTGATAAGTAGAAACTTTTTTAAAACCGAAAGATACTCCTTCTTTAAGTATAAAATTTAAAGAAGGCGCAATTTTCTGCCAGACGACTACAAGAAATAATTTTTTCGTGCATGTTTTCTATAGAATATATTTAAATTTATAAAGACAGTCAAAATCCATGATGTAAATGCATACTATTTAAGTAGCCACTTTTTACAGTGCATCATTTTTATTAACTGTCAGAAAGAAGCTCGCTAAAAAGTCGGAATCCTGACGTGACCTAAATATATTGAGATGGGGCTGTACGATCGTCATTTTTACAACCATACGCAATTAATATATTTGAATCGAAAACGCATTTCAGAATTTCGGGTGACATTTCATGAGGTAGGGAATCTACTGTAGTATCACGTCCAGAAGAGGATTCTATTTCTAGAACAGGAAGTTTATTCCTCTGTTGTTCCGTACTGTTCCATTATCAGAGGCAATCGCAAATAAGAATGATAGGGAGCCAGGGAGTATCCTTGTACCGAGGGTATTTCCGACCTTGCGCTCCCTTTATTTATTGCGCTGAGCGTTGAACTTCAGCCCAAATATGTACATTAAATGTTGCTGTATGCCTATAGGTCTTGACTATGGTGCTCTGCATTACGTTCCAAAACTACTCTCTAAGGAAATTAAAAGGCTTAAACTTTGATCTGTCCTATGACTTATCTCCAAAACGCTTTTTTTCCAAGAAATCCTCGAAATATTTTCACCGTCTTTCAAGACCAGTCGGTGCCGAAGTGCGCAGACGGAGTCTTATCTCGGATGCGTCTGCGGGTTGCATATGGGAATGATGGTGTTATGCTGTGCGTAATTATTTACCATACTGAGAGCACTAGTTAAAAAGCCCAGCAACGTTTTTGTTGTAACCTAGTGTGTTCCTGTGTCAAAACCAGTTATGTCCCCCAGTACGTGTTCGGAAGAGAAGGCAGAACAGGATAACAGCTAGTACTTTACTGTCAGGTCTACTAGTACATCAACTCTGTTTCCGTGTGTCCAGCAGCTTGCCTTCTGTGGTCGGT